CTGGCTATTCCTTTCTCTCCCCCTCCAGTGTCTATTTTATAATATAATGCAAGGAAAACCAAGATTCAAAAGACAGCCAAGCATCTTAACATTATTCCCTCCTTTTCCCCATTCCAACCATGTTTCAATCTCTGTATCCCAGAGCCCTGTTGTTCCAAGGCTGTGCATACATCATTATTTACCTCTGTCCATCGAGTTGGTACCGACCCATAGCAACCTTATGCATTGCAGCATGATACACTGCCTGATCCTGAGCCAACCTCACTACTGTTGCCACACTTGAGTACATCGATGCTGCCACTTGGCCAATCCACTTGTTAGGGGTCTTTCTCTTTTTCTCTGACCCTCCACCTTACCAAACATGATATCCTTCTCCAGCGACTGATCCCTCCTGACAATGTTGTCTATACCTTGTCATAAACCACACAATTGAAGGCCTTTTCATCATAAAGAAAGCACAGGTAAGCATCTTTCTGGTGTTCTCTACTTTCAGCCAAGATCCATCAGACATCAGCAATGATATCCCTTATTCCACATCCTCTTCTGTATCCAGCTTGAACCTCTGGAAGTTCTCTGTCAATGTATGACTGTAGCCATTTCTGTATTACCGTTAGTAAAACTTTATTCACATGGAATATCAAAGAGATTGTCCCATGATTTCCACATTCTGTTGGGTCACCTTTCTTTGAAATAGGCACAAATACAGATCTCTTCCAATCAGTTGCCCAGATAGTTGTCTTCCAAATTTCTTGGCACACATGAGTGACTGCCTCCAGTGCTGCCTCACTTTCTTGAAACATTTCAATTTTTATTCCATCAATTCTCAGTTGCTCTTTGTCAATTCTTTCATTGCACCTTGGACTTCTTCCTTCAATGTCATTGGCTCTTGAGCATATGCTACCTCTTGAAACTGTTGAACATCAACCATTTCCTTTTGATACAGTGATTCAGTGTATTCTTTCCATCTTCTTTTGATGCTTTCTGCATCGTTCAATAATTTGCCCAGAGAATCCTTCAATAATGAAAGTTGAGTTTTGAATTTTTTCTTCAGTTCCCCAGCTTAAGAAATGCTGAGCGTGTTCTTTTTTGGTTTCCTAACTCTGATCTTTGCACATTTTTTTTTTGTATTTTTGAGTTTGTCTTCTTGAGCTGACCTTTGAAATTTTCTGTTCAGCTCTTGTACCTCCTCTAATTTCTTCCATTTGCTTTAGCATCTCTACTCTGGGAAGCAAGCTTAAGTGTCTCTTCTGACATCCATTTTGATCTTTTTCTTCTTTCTTGTCTTCTTGATGACTTTTTGCTTTCTTCATGTATGACGTTCTTGATGTCATTCCACAACTTTTCTGGTCTTTGGTCTAATACATCAAATTTGTTCTTCAGATGATCTCTAAATTCAGGTGGGTTATATTCAAGGTCATATTTTGGGTCTCATGGACTTGTTTTCAATTGCTTCAGTTTCAGTTTTAATTTGCATATGAGAAATTGAACGTCTGTTCTGCAATCTTTCCCTGACCTTTTTTTGGCTGATGGTATGGAGATTTTCCACCATCTCTTTCCACAGATGTAGTCATTTTAATTTCTGTGTATTCTATCTGGTGAAGTCCATGTGTATAATCGTCTCTGTGATGTCTAAAGAAGGTATTTGAAATGAATAAATCACTGATTTTGCAGAATTCTATCATGTGATCCTCAGCATTATTTCTATCACCAAGACCTTATTTTCCAACTACTTATCCTTCCTCTTTGTTCCCAACCTTTGCATTCCAATCACCAGTAATGATCAGTACATCTTGATTGCATGTTGGATTAATTTCAGATTGAAGAAGTTGGTAGAATTCTTCTATTTCAATCCTCACTGGCTTTAGTGGTAGGTACGTAAATTTGAAAAATAGTAGTATTAACTAGTCTTCCCTGTAGGTGTATGGATATTATCCTATCACTTACAGCATTGTACCTCATGGCTGATCTGGATATGTTCTTTTTGACAATTAATGCAACACCATTCCTTTTCAATTTGTTGTTCCTGGCATATTAAACCATGTGGTTGTCAGATTCAAAATGGTCAATACCAGTGCATTGCAGCTGACTGATACCTAAGATATTGATGTTTATGCATTCCATTGCACTTTTGAAATTTTCTAATTTTCCTAGTTTCATACTATATTCTGATTATCAATGAATTTTTACAACTGTTAGTCTTCATTTTGAGTTATGCCCATCAGCAAATGAAGGTCCCAAGTGCTTTCCTCCATTCATGTCATCACAATCAACTCTACTTTGAGGAGGCAGCTCTTCCCCATTCACATTTTGAGTGCCTTCCAACCTGAGGGGCTCATTTTCCTACACTATATTAGACAGTGTTTCTCTGCTATTAACAAGTTTTTCAGTGACTAAATATTCAGAAGTAGTTAGTCTATCCTTCTTGCTAGTCTGTATTCGTCTGGAAGTTCATCTGAAACCTGTCCATCATGGGTGACCCTGCTGGTATTTAAAATATCCATGGCATAGCTTCCAGAATCACAGCAACTCACAAGCCACCACAGTACAACAAACTGACAGACGAATTGTGGGATGTGAGAAATTAATAGAGTTTAATCCCTTCTTAATACCATTTGAAACAACAAAACCCTTCAGATGGCTATGGATTACTCCCATAAATGTGAAAAAGCAAAACTAAATGCTAGTAGGAAAAAGGTGCCTAGGAAGCTATGTGAGCCCACGAAGGGAAAGAATTCCACATGCAAGATTCAATATGCTCAAAGCATAGATGCATTTATCCATATCAAAGTAATTACTAATTACAAACATATCAAAGTTTTCAGAAAACTGATTGACTAGAATAAAATATTTTTAGTTCTGAAAACTAAGACATTGTTAATATCTAGAATACAAAAGATATTTTTGCAAATCAGAGAGAAGACGGGAAACTCAGCAGAGAAAATTGGTGAAGTCAGCCTATACCAGTATGACTAGGCATTTTAGAGAAGGGGAAAGCCAAACTGCTAGGGAAGCTTAGCCTCATTAAAAAATAAATAAATAAATAAATAAATAAACCCCACAGAAGATGAAAATGAAACCAGAATTAGATACTACATTGCAAATATCAGAGTGGCAAAAATTGGAAAGTTAGAAAATATCAAGGAGGAAACAGAAACTCTCCTGTTTTTCTTGCTGGATGATCAACTGATGAGTTATTTTTTAGAGCAACTTGGCAGTATTTAGTGAAATAATATGGGAATTTATTCAGTAAGCAAGCAATTCCATGCTGATGGTCCCTAAAACATTCTCACAAAGGCACACAAGAGAACGTTGGAAGGAACTTGGAGATTGTTCCAATTTGAAGATTGAACAAGAGAAGGGTTTAGGCATAGTAGGCTGAGGCTATACCTGAGCATAAAGTTGAGTGAAAATAAAGCTAACAAAGCATTTGATTGATCTCACAATTGTGTCTCAAGAAAATAAAACACATGCACAAAGTAACACTAATTTCCAAGGAAACATACTAAATAAACAATGGAGTTCCTAAGTGGTGAATGTAGCTAATGTGATTAGCTGCCAACTGCAAAATTCAAAGCTCAGGTCCACTCAGAGATGCCTTGGAATAAAGGTCTAACAAGCTATTTCTGAAAAATCAGCTACTGAAAGAAAGTCCAAAGGAGTGTAACTGTAATCTGACACATATAAGGACACCATGAATCAGATCACCTCCAATGAAACTATTTTTTGCTTGTTTGGGTCTTTATTATTATTATTATTAATAAGTAGACAATGGAAGCTGGATTAGAAGGATATATACTGGAGAACAGTTGCTTATGGAAACAAGGACTAGAAAGATCATCCTGAAAGATGAAAAGGAAAGTCATTTGAAAAATATCACTACATAAGATTCTTACACAAATTGATGATACTTGTTTGCCATGAACTGAGAAGTAGGTTGGATTTAAATATGTGACCTTAAAGTCCTTACCAAAAAAAAAAATCAGTTCTTCTTAAAAGTTTGCTGGCATCAGTTTTTGTTTCCTGTACATCTTTATCCACTGCAATTTTGTTTCCTTTCTCCCCATAAAGGGTTGTTGGCACCTCGCCAGATCTCTGTATCCTCAAAGGATGCAGATAACATGGTGGTGACTTGGGAGCCCCCAGAGAGGACTGCCTCCGTTGTCCAGGAGTACGTGGTGGAATGGCGGGAGCCCCGTACGGGTGGTGACACACAGCCTCCTCTGAACTGGCTCCGGAGTCCTGCCTACAACGTGTCTGCTTTGATTTCAGGTACCTAATTGTTCACTTTTCTTGTGGACTCTTATTGACATGTGGTTGGGGGAAACTGCTGGAATCTGCTCTCACTGACAAGTGGTTCAGTGGTAAGAGGGAGCAGGATGACCTAAAGTCCATCAAGACAGCACCTTACACTACAGCCACAGAAGGTCAACTGGGTGTCTGACAACTCTTGTATGTATGGGAACTCCATGTGCCTAGAACAGTGGAGCTCTGGTAGAGCACTGGTTAAGCGTTCAGCTACTAATGAAAAGATTGGCTGTTCAAATCTACCTATTGGCTTCATGGAAGAAAGACTGGCTCTCTGCTCCCATCATAATTACAGCTAAGAAAACCCCATGAGTAAGTTCTGCTGTCACATGGGGTTGCTGTGAGTCAGAATTAAGTCACTGACACCCAACAACAACTACAGGACAGTCAGTGCCCGATAAAATGAATGAGTTTAAGAAGAGAGCTAAGGGGTTACCAGTCAGTGTGATAAACACTTGACATCTGGGAGCTCATTTTTTTCTCAAAACAGCCATGTACATTAAGAGTTATTATGCCTAGTGTGCAGATAAGGAAACCAGGAGCTCTAAGTTTCATTCCCAATTCTACTTCTTATTTATGTGATAACAAATACAGAATGATGTTGATAAGGATTAGTATCTCTGATGCTCAATTTCCTAATCTGTTCATGGTTACATTCAAGTGAGAGAAAGTAGTTAAAAATATATTAAAAGAACTGTTCATGTAATTTTTTAGCAGAAGGCAGTTTAAGCTACCTGGGTTTGAGTCCAGGCTCTGTCACTTACTAATTGTACGATCTAGGGCAAATAACTTTGCTTTGTCTCAGTTTCCTTACCTATAAGATGGGGATAATTATATGGCCTCCTTCGCTGTGTTATTGTGAAGACTAAAATAATTAATGCATGAAAAATGCTTTGAACAGTGACTGGCACATTTGAAGTGCTCAATAAATGTATCTGTTATTATTATTATATGAAACAGAGCTAAGAATTGAGTAGATTCTCAAGCTCAATTCCCATATTTTCATAACACCATGGCAACTATTACACCTGTCAATGAGGATCCATAAAGCCTATGAGTAAGGAGACAAGACTTGCACAAATTTAGCAAACAGAGCACAAAGCATGATAATACACGATCCCACCCTTTTGTAGTCTTCTCAGATTTATAGTGGGTTGTGTTACCTTTTTAATTGTGATAAAAATATACATAACACAAAAAATACCTTGTTTCAATGATTTCTACACGTACAATTCAGTGACATCGATTACTTTCTTTCTAGTTGTGGAACATTATTCTTATCCTTTTTCAAATCAGTCACCCACCAGTAACATAAACTTAATACTCCCGAAACAAAAATTCTCCCTTTCCCCCTACTCTCCTACCCATGTTGTTATTAGTGGCTGTTGAATAGCTTCCATCCCATGGTAACCACAAATGTGTAGAGTGGAACTGCTCCTTAGGGTTTTCAAGGTTCTTCTGGTCAGTTCACATTGCCAGTACTAGTCCATTTCAGCTCACTAATGCCTAGGATATCAGTCTTTGTGTGTTTCATTTCATTTTTGACAGCTTCCAATTTTCCTAGATTCATACTTCTTACATTCCATGTTCTGATTATTGATGGATGCTCACAGCTATTTCTTCTCATTTTGAGTTGTGCTTCATCAGCAAATGAAGGTTCCAAAAGTTTTACTCCATTCACAATATTATGATCACCTCTAGTTTGAGGAGGCAGCTCTACCAAGAGTCATATTTTGAGTGACTTCCAATTTGAGACGCTCTTCTTCTGATACCGTACCTGACAGTGTTGTGCTGCTGTTCATCAAGTTCTCAGTGGCTAAACATTCAGACGTAGTCTGCCTCTTCTTCTTCCTAGTCCATTTTAGTCTGGAAGCTCTGCTGAAACTTGTTCATCATGGGTGACCCTGCTGGTATTTAAAATACCATTCCAGCATAAGAACAACTTGCAAGCCACCACAGTACGACAAACTGACATCTGTAATTTTCTACACAAATATCACAAAATAGATGGCAAGAGAATGTTAAACGTACTTCTTGTTGTTGTTGCTAAGTGCCATGGAGTCTGTTCCAACTCATAGCTACCCTGTGTAGGGTTTTTAAGGAGTGCCTGGTGAGTTTGAGCCACCAACCTTGCGGTTCAAACCGACCTTGCAGTTCAACACATTAACCTACAGTGCCACACCAGGGCTCCTTAACATACTTAGGAAAATAAAATGTTATTTTGAACTTTGTTGTTGTTAGGTGTTGAGTCAGCTTTGACTCTTATCAACCCTATGCTTCATAGAATGAAACACTGCCCAGTCCTGTGCCATCCTCACTAGCATTGTTATGTTTGAGCCACTGAAAGAAGTCTCATCGGGAGACTTTCTCATTTTCAATGACCCTCTCCTTTACCAAGTCCTTTCCAGGTACTGGTCCTCTTGACAATATGTCCAAAGTACATGAGATGAAGTCTGATCTTCTTTGCTTCTAAGGAACATTCTGGCTGTACTTCTTCCTTGTTGTTGTTAAGTGCCGTTGAGTCAGTTCTGACCATTAGCAATCCTGTATAGGGTTTCTGAAGAGCAGCTGGTGAGATTGAACCACTGGCCTTGCAGTTCAAATGGCTTTGCAGTCTGGCACATTAACCCATAATGCCACACCAGGACTCCTTCCTAGATAGACTTATCTGTTCCTTTAGCAGTCCATGATAGTTTCAATATTGTTTGCCAACACCATAGTTCAAATGCCTGAATTTTTTTCCAGTCTTCCTTATTCAGTGTCCAGCTATCACATGCATATGAGGCAACTGAAAAATACAATGGCTTGGGGCAGGCACACCTTAGTCTTCAAAGTGACATCTTTGCTCCTTAAAACATTATAGTACTGTTGAAAATACGTTTAAATTAAAGCTGTTTCCATGTTTGAAAACACTTGGTTAGTTGTTTATTTGATGTTAAATTATAAAAATAAAAACTAAAAAAAATATATCAGGCTATTCACATGTTGTCAAGTATTCTAAATGGTCCTCTGCCGTCAGTGAATGGATTTATTGTCATTGGAACTTCACCAGTTCCCTAGCATCTGGGGCAGAGTTGGGTGTCTTGGAGCAGGGCCAGATTCCTGGGTTTTATTATTTGGACCCATGCTAAAGGAAGTTCTGTTCTGTCCGGGTGAGAACAGTTCTGACCAGACAGAGCCACTCCTCTTAAGAACATGCAAACATTAAGGTACCTGGAAAGCCTTCCTCAATGTGTACACAAGTTTTATCCCTCTTGTGTGAGCTCCTATCCTTTTTCCTCTATGATGGGGCTTTAAACAGTTTGTGGGAAAATGGAATGAAAAGATAATGGAATTTTTCAGTGAACTTTATGAAGCCCCCTTGTCTGTTCATTGTTGTAGTGAGTTACTATTGGGTCAATTTTGACTCATAGTGACCCCTTGTGTGATGGAGCGGAACTGCTCCATAGGGTTTTCTTGACTGTAATCTTTATGAAAGCAGACCACCTTTCTCACATGGAGCCCAAGGGTGGGTTTAAACTGACAACTGATTTATACCGCTGGGGCACCCTTTATGATTGTTGTTGTTAAGTGCTATTGAGTGGTTCCGACTCATAGCAGCCATGTATAGTGTTTTCTGAGGAGTGGCTGGTGGTTTTCAACCACCAATCTTAGGGTTAGCAGTCCAGTGCTTATCCCACAGCACCTCACCAGGACTCCATTCATTATGATTACTTCTCCTTGTTTATCATTTCATGTTTCCCTTCTCTCATTAGCTTTTTTTTTTTTTTCCCCAGAAAAACCTCTTAAGAGATGATTCCTAAACTCGATGTAGGAGACAGGCAGTGTGTTTGCTTGGGGCAAAGTATCTATATGCAAGGGAGTAGCAGAAATCAGGTTGCCTTAGCTCCTGCAAGATGGGTGGGCCCATCACAAGAAGAAGCCTAAAGGCCTGAAACTGCACTTTCCAGGCAGTCTGTGTTGAAACTCATATTTTGCCTGGCAAAATGCAATGAAACCATTTGCCTAATGAGCTCCTCTGGGACTCCCAGGCCTTGAAAAGGCACAGTGGCTGTCTGGCCGCTTCAAAGACTAAGTAGAGTAGCAGGTACTAGAACCAAACAGCTACTCACTAGCCAGCTTACAGTGAAATGAAATTCCATAGTCTGTATTTTCCTTTGGGTTTCTTGGTCTGGATATCACCCACAAGGAATCTTTGGATTACGGGACTAAGCTGACGGTGTCCTTAGCTCCTCTCACTTGGTCCATGAACATCTATTGGATCTGGCAGACTCATCACTGAACTATGGCCTCATCATGGTCTCTTCTGTCAGTACTTGCTACACCTCTGAGCTTTATGTACTGTTTACCAGTTGGAATATTTAAGGAATCATCGATTTTCATAGAAAGCACACATGATTTAGTAATTACTCTGCGACATCCAATCCCTCTTCTCAGAAAATAAATAACCCTGATCAAGTCTACCAGACAGACCTACTGATGGGGCATTAAACAATATTGTGAGTTGATTAAATGATACGATAGTTACCTAATAAGAGTTATTTCTCATCTCTCTTTTTCCTTTAAATTCTCATTTGGAAATATAAAGATGTCCCATGGGCAGTATCTACAAGAGAAAGTAGAAATCTGAGATTCGTGGAAATATGGAGCTTTATCAGGGGAGAGTCACTTGCCTGACAAAAGAAAACTGTAGTGTGGCTCTTAGAAAACTAGAACAGTCTATCAAAAAGAAAATAAGCAATGTCTATGAGATAGTCTAATGCATTCTCTCTCAGAGTTCTCCCAGGTACCTTCCAGAACTGTCAGGCTGCACAGCACCTGAGCTCTAACTGGAATGTGTAAGGGGGTGGATGGGAGGAGAACAGGGTGGAAACCAAGAGTCGGTTGTGGTGAGCATGCCCTGGTTAGTCCTGCCCATGGTGTCATTTGATGTTGCACTGTTCAGTCCCCAATGAGCATCTTTGGAATTATGAGAAGTGTTCAGGTTGTATGCCTGTAACACCACAACCTAACTTTTCTGTAAATAGCAAATGATTTACCAGTAAAAGTCAAAGATTTTCAAGATTTTTTTTTTCCTTGAAGGCAAATTTTGTTTTTGAAGTGTGCACATGTCTGCATGGTTATTTTGAAATCCCTGTTGAAACTTGAATATGTTTTGTTTCCTCAATTACAATGACCTTGTTTATTTATATCAGAAGCAGGTTTGTTTTGCTTTTCTACATCTTACTTGAGGGTTGGCAGCAATGACTTCCAGAAGTCAATACCATGGTAAATGAGATTAAGAATTTGTAATTTCGGTCATCCTTGGTCCAGATGGAAGAGTGTCCAAATGAAGGAGAGGCAAGAAACAGGTCCAGGTCTCTATACCAGAGAGATGGCTGCCTTTCCTGACTCACTAATAATACCACATCTGTTATGAAAACAAGTTCCTTTTCTTGCAGAGAACATAAAACCCTATATCTGCTATGAAATCCATGTATATGCACTGGCAGGGTACCAGTCAGGATGCAGCTCCGTTCGGGGAAATGCTAAGGACAAAGGTGAGTCTTGCTTTAAAAAAAATAAAAGGTGTTGGCTTTTGTTTGTTACCAAATTTTGCTTTTAGTTTAATGTTCTGGATTTGTATGGTGATAAAAGCTTCCTGTGTTCTACTTCACAGCACCCCTGAATGGCCCCCACATTAATACCATCACAGAGGGAAAGGGAGGTGTCTTAATTTCATGGAACAGAATTCCAGCCCAGGAACAAATGGGCTGCATCCTGTATTACAAGATCTACTGGAAGGAACAGAACTCGGATGCCCAACCTGGGTCCCATAGTATGTGTGAGAACCGAATGCAGCAGGACCTTTCTTGCTTAGATGTTAGGAAACACACAAACGCATGTGTAGATACACATGTGCTAGCACTGTACCTAGAGCTTAGTAGGCAATGCTCTGTATCTGTGAGATTAAAAGGGTAACAAATACAAGGATAAAAGAAATCCAGACACACACACCAGGAAGTTTTGTTGATTCAGTGGTAGATTTCAGACCTGAGTTCGATTCCCTGCCAATGTACCAAATTTGGAGCCATCGCCCATCTTTCATGAGGGATTGTTACTATGATGTTGAACTTGTTACTATGAGGTTTTAGCAGAGCTTCCAGAATAAGATGATTAGGAAGACAGGCCTGGTGATTTACTTCTGGAAAATCAGCCCTTGAAAACGCTATGGATCATGAGAGTCAGGGCCACAACTCATCATGGGGAGGACATTGTACCAGGCAGCATGTCCTTCCACTGACCCAGAGACCATCTCATTGGCAGCAAACAGCAAACAGACACACATACAGAGCTACTGAATACATGCCAAACAAATTGCTATGGATACATAAGTGAAAAACCTGAACGAGGCTTTCAAGTTGCACAGTTAAAAAGGGAGACGGTGTCTCAGACAACAACAAAAGCACTTCATTACGATATGAATCATGAAGATGCATTTGGAGAACTTTCAAACCTTCACATTTGTAACTACCATCTTATCATATTATTTTCTTCCCAAAATGATCAAATACAACACAACTTAAATGCAACACTCCTTATGACCCATAATTACTTTATGACTAAGAGTAAAACAATGAAAATAAATTTTGGCTGGAGCATTATCTCGAATAATTTCATGAAACACTCATTCATGTAGCAGCCTCAAGTCACTTGTCAGATTTAATATTCCATCGTTGATTGATTCAGAGCTTTATCTGCCTTCTCCCCCTTCCTAGTGTAGCCTTCTCTTTAAACAGCTGACATTCTCTCTAGGGGCATTTACATTTTAAAAACATATTATTTTTATTCCTTTGTAAAGGTTATTAAGTTCAAGAAACAGATCGCAGAGCCACTTGGAGATGCAGATGCTGAGAGCTGCCTGCCAGGAGGATTTTTACCTGGAGATTTTATAGAAATTATACTTGCACATGCTAAAAACTTTTAAATAGTTCAGAAGTTTATATAATTGTAAAAATATGATAATGAAGCACTAACCATTCCTCCCAACTGGATTTGATAATTCATCACAACAGCCATACAGAAGAACTCAGACACCATATTCAGAGTTGGGTTTATTAGAGAAGTTAACAGGTTAAAATGCAGAATCATAAAATGCTCAGGGCACAGTTGTTTCAGTCAAGCTGCTGATAAATGCCCACAGGACACACCACTCCACCATAAGCCTCAGTCTGAAAACACTCGGCTCTGGCTCCATGGGTCAGCAAACTTAGCTCCCCAACTTAAGAACCTGGAGGCACCTCACTCTACAAGCAAGTTTCCTGCTCAGTCACTCAGTTTTACTTGCTCCATGGGCCTGGAGCCCACTCTTCTGTCTCACGCTCTGGTTCTTGGTTCTGTTGCTGCTGCATCTCTACCACTCCTCTGGTGTCACAGTTTTCTGTCCCTGGGTTGAGGAAGATCAGTATGCAAGGATCTTGGGGTCCAAATGACGTGCTCCACTTGCAGATCTTTTTCTTTTATGGTAGTGACATTCCTACCTCCTGCCTCTGAGATGGCTCATTTTATACCCATGTTAGAGTTCCAAGTGTTCACAATTGCAGTGAACTACATCTTTTGCAGTGATTCAGCATCTACAGCTGAATCATGTCATCCTGTCAATATCTTCTCCCACCTTCATATCCATCAAAAAAAGAGTCATTTGGTGGGAGTTACAAAGATTAAGGCTAGAATAGGCATATTAATTCACTACACCACAATAATGAAAAGTCTTCCTTCCTCCATTCGTAGACCCACTCTCCCCTAACAGCTAACTACTGTTAGCAGTTCTACAGATGTTATTCCAGGAAACAACAATAACAATAATAATACTGAATTGTTGTTGTTGTTAGGTGCCATTGAGTCGGTACCAACTCATAGCAACCCTATGCACAACAGAATGAAACACTGCCTGATCCTGGACCAACCTCACAATTGTTGCCATGCTTGAGCCCATTGATCCCAATCCATCTCGCTGGGGGTCTTCCTCTTTTTCGCTGACCCTCCACCTTACCAAATATGATATCCTTCTCCAGTGACTTGTCCCTCCTGACAACATGTCCAAAGTATGTTGAGATGAAGTTTGGCCATCCTGGCCTCCAAGAAGCACTCTGGCTGCACTTCTTCCAACACAGATCTGTTTGTTCTTGTGGCACTTGCTGCACAAGACCTTTTTAAAGTGTTTAAGAGCAAAGACATCAGCTTGAGGACTAAGGTGCGCCTGACCCAAGCCATGGTATTTTCAATAACCTCATATACATGTGAAAGCTGGCCAGTGTATAAGGAAGACCACAGAAGAATTGATGCTTTTGAGTTATGGTGTTGGAGAATATTGAAAGTACCGTGGGCTACCAAAAGAAAGAATGCTACCGATTAAGACATATATTTGGGTTCTTAGTCTATATTCTGATCTGTACCTTGCTTTTATTTCCCAACAGTATAGACTAGAAATCTTTCCACATCAGTCCATATTGGATTTGCCTGTTTATTTTTTAACAGCTCCTTAGTATTCTATTTAAAGGCCTTATAGTCACGTGTCTAACTAGACCACATTGATGAAGAGGTTATTTCATTGAGGAGAACTACTTCCCACAGGGCTTGTCAGAGTATGTTAGTTCTGAAATGTAATTTAAGAGATGTCTCCTTTAACATCATGAAAGATGAGAAAATATGCATTCAAGATGCTGAACCAACTCCAAACAGAATAGACCTCAAAAGAACATTACCAAAACATATTATAATCAAACTCTCCAAAACCAAAGACAAGGAAAGAATCCAGAGAGCAGCTCAGGAAGATTGAAAGGTTACCTACAAAGGAGAACTAATAAGACAAACTCTGATTTCTCAGCAGAAACCATGCTGGCAAGAAGACAATGGGATGACATATATAAAACTCTGAAAGAAAAAAACAATTACCAAACAAGAATCATATATCCAACAAAGTTGTCTCTCAAATACACTAGTGAAATTAAGACATTTCTAGATAAACCAGACTAACTTTACTAGAAATACTAAAGAGAGTTCTTTGGATAGAGAAGCAACAACAGTAGAAAACAACCCGAGATTAACATACGTGACAATATTATAAATAACTCAACCCAGATATAGAAGTACTTCCTGGTACAGCACTATAGGATAAGCACTGAACCATATGATCAGTTTGAACCACAAGGTCTGCGGTTCAAACCCACCAGTGGCTTCTTGGAATTCCTATACAGGGAGCTATGAGTCGGAACTGACTCAATGGCACTTAGCAACAACAACAAAGAAGTACTATAAGACTAAAAATAGGGAAACAGAGTTATTAGTTACAATGACAATTAAAACTCCCTGGGGTGGCTCTGTGGGTTAATGCACTGGACTGCAAAACCAGTTTGAACTGCAAAGTCGGCAGTTCAAGCTCACCAGCCTCTCCTCGGAAACCCTACACAGGGTCGCCATGGGTCTGAACTGACTCGACGGCACTTAACAACAACAATAATAATTAAAAGAGGAACTAGTGTAGTTACAAAACATCTAAATGAAGAGAAATTCAAGAAGATTTCAAAAAAAAATAAATGAAAATAAACCTAATTGTAATCCTAAAAGTAGACGAGCCTTAGCTCAACTGCTACCTCTACCTCTACCCCTGATCATACCCATGACACTTCATGAAACCTCAGACCTGGTCACAATCTTAACCCTAACTCTTTACTCCTAGCCTTTCCTTAAAAAAAGATGAGCGAATTGAGACCTCTTCTTGGGCCTTTTGGAATTCTACATGTAACATTGACTCCCTCCAAAATAATCTCCATTTCTGCATTTTAAACAGAGATGCCTGTTTGCCACCAGAAAGATCATCATGGCCAGCTGCTTCTGTTGATGCTAAAGAAAGAACCTACTTTATTTTGCCATGAATTCAAATCATGTAAAACCCACGTAAGGATATTTTTAAATAGGTTAAAAGGAGAGGGGGAGAGTGCAGATCCAAAGTCCTATTTTAAAGTAAATTAGGTTGAATTTCTGTTAAATCAGTTAGCATTTACTGATGATAAGTCCCATTCCCAATCTTCATAGAGCTCATAGTCTAGTGATAGAGATGGAGAAATACACACACATGACAGAATTGCTATCATCAGGAACTGACAACTACCCATTTCATTTGGAAGCCAGGAGTCATCAATGATTTCACAGGGCAGTGCCTAGGGAGTGGCAGGGACAGTAGGTGGAGGATGAGGGAAAAAGATTCCAGGAGGGAGTGGCACACAACAGAAACAGGAGGATGGTGCTTCTAAGAGGAAGGGGCCCCAACTCACTAGTCTGTATGGAAAAGCTGGCAGCAATACTAATGGTGCATGCAGAAAAGAAGGGCATTAATCCTGCTGTGGTGTTCTAGGATAAGCCTTGGACTGCAAGCCTCAGCTTGGTGGTCCAAATCCATCAGCTACTCCTCAGAAACCCTATGCAGGGTTTCTATGAGTGAACCCAACTCAACAGTTCTTAACAACAACAAAGCCCTGCCTGGTCAAGAGAGGAGAAATGTAAAACTGGGAAGCCCAGGCATCAAGTAGTCCCTGGATGGCACAGTTAAGTGGCCGACTCCTAGCCCAAAAGTTAGCGGTTTGAGTCCACCCAGAGGCCCTGTTGATCTGCTTCTAAAGGTCACAGCTTAGAAAAGTCTTTGGAGCACTTCTACTCTGCATACATGGGGTCATCGTGAGTTGGAATCCAATAACAGCAACAGCTAGACATCTGCCATTTATAGGCCTACGGGTGAGTCTGATGCTCAGCCATTCCTCTGAGAGTACTCTGTTATTACTT